CATGATAATTAGCTAATTTTTAGCTGTTCCATGACTGCTCCACTGATATCTAAACAACCACTCATTGGATTTTGATGAAACTAGGTACATAGATGCTCTGAACTTATGCGCTGATTTGATTAGTTTTTGGTAAAAATCTGTACATATTAATTACCTAATTTGCATAACGATTATTAAATTTTCGTTTTTTCCACTGATACCTCAAGTACTAATCATCACATTTCAATGAAACTTTGTACATGGATGCTGTAGGACAATAGACAGACCTGATTAATTGCGAGTTAAAATCTGTACATATTACCTAATTTGCATAATTAGCCAATTCTAAGCTATCACACTGATATCTAAAGTACTAATTATTCCATTTCAATAAAACTTAGTACAAAGATGCTCTAGGACAATGTACAAACCTAATTAGTTTGGGGTCAAAAATCTGTTCATATTAATTCCCTAATTAACATAATAATTCATAATTTTTTGGTTCTAATCACATTTCAATAAAACTTGGTACATAGATGGTCTGTTACATTGCACAGACCTCGTTAGTTTTACGCTCAAATCTGTTCATATCAATTTTCTGATTTGCATAATTAGTTTTCAGCTTTTCCCTCAATATCTCAAGTACAAGTAATTTCGAATTATTTTTATGTGTCTCCAATACTCTCAGCACATGGGAGTTCTTTCTAAGCTTTCTTTGATTTTGAGGTCTTTTTATTTTTACTGTTAAATGCAAGAAATTAAATCATAGTATTAAATCGACCATTGATTTCATTATTTGGATTTGGGTCACTGTAAATGCTATCCATAAATTTCAGTTAATCTATGGTGTGTCTCGGTTCAACTGTGTTTTACTCAGTGAACAGTGACTTACAATTGTCAACATCACAAAAATGTAAATGATTCACAGTAAAATGTTTTCATGTTTTCTGATGCCAAATAAATAAAAAAATGTAAATGATTCACAGTAAAATGTTTTCATGTTTTCTGATGCCAAATAAATAAAAAAATATTAACATTTGTAGTAAATTAACAATCTAATAAACTTAAATAAATTTGAGGCAATTTACTCATCTGCACATGTATAAATGCGCACTGATTTCTCTTCACATACGCCCAGATTGACTAGTGTTAAAAATTATTTCCAAACACTATTATAGATTTCACAATTTATATTATGTGTATCTTTACTTTAGCTTCCTGAGATCATTAACAGCAACTTTCCTGTTCTAACTGATCAGTGTTCCATATTTGGCCATAGGTAAGAATAAAAGGTTTTATTGATAAAATTCTTTGATTTAGCATTTAACTGGGTTTTTTTTTAGCTCCGCTGTTGACTTTGTCGAGCGGAGCTTATCATATGAGTGATTGTCCGTCGTCGTCGTCCGTCGTCGTCGTCCGTGTCAATGTTTTACTTTTTCGACTTCTTCTTGAAAACTACAAGCCTAAATGCTTTGATACTTGGTGTATATGTACCTTGGGTAGACCTC